TATTCATAATCTGAAAGATGATAAGGTAACATTCTATGTGTATCATGAGGGAACAGGAACTAAAGGGCCTAATGAAGTTGTATCATTTTTATTACATTTTCTTGACAACAATCCAGAATTTAAAAATATTAACCATTTTCACTTCTTTTCTGATGCATGTGCCGCCCAGAACAAGAACCATACAATAGTTAGACTTTTTTCTGCATTAGTTTCAACCAATAGATTCAAAAAGATTGAACAATATTATCCCACACGGGGACATTCATTTCTACCGTGTGATCGGGATTTTTCCGTTCTTAAAAGGAAAATTAAAAAATCAGACAGGATTTATACCTTAAAAGAGTATGTAGAGCTTATCATAACATCTAACAAGAGTTTAAACCGATTTACTGTAGTTTTGCCGAATTCTGATGACATATTGAACTTTAAAGGATGGTGGCCCACGTATTTTAAAAAGACAATGCTCTCCAATGAATCTTTGGGCAGAAATATCCCAAGAGATCAAAAAATTGCTTTTAAAATATCCAACTTTCGACACTTTATTCATTCGAGTGATCACGATGGAATTGTTATTGCAAAAGAGTACATAGATGGCTTGATACATATTCATATTTAACAACATCAGTAGGTATGTAAAGTAGCTGGAGTCTAATTAAGGGTGGAATTCGTAGAATAGGTACGTTTAATTCTCTCGGTGATTTAAAAAATGAAAAGTTTTTATACAGATAATCTTTGGCTTCTAATATTTTTTTTATAATTTTGATAAATATGCAAGGATTGACGTGACGGTCAATTTCTTTGCATAAACAAATGGTTCAGTATATCTGTTACAGTGTTTTTGAAGATTCTATTCTATAGAGCGTTCCACGTTAAGAAAATAACATTGCGGTGATAGAATCATGAATTTCTTATAGAAGATGGAAGCGCAGCGATGCCACGACAAACAGAAGCACGATTCAAGGTTGTATTATTTGTATTTTCGTTTCCACATACATGAATTAAATTATTGTTTTTTAACGTAATTGACCAAAAGCACCCATTCGAAACACGAGATGAAAAGTAGGGAAAATGATTTTAATTAAATAAATAGTATTTACAAAAGATAATTTTATTTTATCTTAATGTTAGTTCTACTAACGACAGTTTACTTGTTTTTCAGTGCTGAATACGGCTCTGATTAGAATAAATCATATATATATATATATATATATATATATATATATATATATATATATATAGACGATCTATTAGCAAAACGGGCCTGAAAGTTTTGGCAACACTGATCTCCATAAGCGCAATGTTATTTTCTTAACTTAAAACAAAGTATAGTTATTACCTTAGAATAATATTTATGAAAATATTAATTCTAAAAGTCGAATTACGCACGTATAAAATTATTATTAACCATATCTAATGGACATTTTTTAGTTTGCTAATATTGATATTATTGTTTTTTCTATTACTTTCGTTGCTCGTCGCCAACGACCAAATTACATCCGATTATTATCCACTTGGTATAATTTTACGATGATTCTAATTAGGTTAATTTCACATCATCCGATTTTGATGTTAAGTTTTCGTACAGAGGTGCCGTATTGTCCCGTTAGTAGAGAATGTGGGGAATGTGGGAAATGATCTAATGTAACGTCATTTAGGTTCGGACTGGTCTGCTGACTTCAGACCGGTGATATTTTGCTAGCATCTACCCATAAAAAATTTTACGCTGAAACAAATTTTCAACCTTTAAAGAAAGATGCAGCTATCGTTAAACCCTTTAAACATCTTTTAACTTGTTCTCGATTTCGCCGTTTGATTTATTCATTGGTGCAAAGATCTTTGCAGATCTCGTTTTGAGTGTTCAGCCCTCTACGCCATATAGCAGCACTGACCACACGTAGCACTTAGTAAACCTTAGTCTCAGTTGAAGATCGAACTCTGAACAAATCAGTACCTTCTTGAATTTTACGAAAGCTTGTCGAGCTTGCTCAATGCGACATTTTACTTCCCTGTCCGATGCCCAGTCTTCAAAAAGCCATGATCCCAGTTATTTAAATTTACTCACTCTTTCAATGGACTTAGTATTCAGTGTTATGGTGGAGTTTTCAAGTGAATCCAAGTTTCTGGAGATGATCATAAATTTGGTTTTTGTGGTATTAATCTCTAATCCCATTCGCTTACTGTATTCTCCGATTATAGTGACAAGTTGTTGAAGATCGACTATGTTGTCACAAATTAAGACACCATCATCAGCATATCGTATGTTGTTGATCAATACTCCATTTAATTGATTCCCATCTTTGCATCCTCCAAAGACTCTTGAAATATGGCTTCCGAATAACTGTTAAATAAAAGAGTGGAAAGCACACATCTCTGTCGAATTCTTATATATTATGCCCATTCTTATATGTATGGGTTTGGATATAGAATTGTCTATTTTTAACTGTGGCGTTTGATGCCAGTACAAGTTTTCAATGTATCTTATGTCTTTTTGGTCTATGGGCATCATTATATGTCCTGGTAAAATTACAGAAATGTTATTTTTATATTCTTTATAATTGCACTTCTTTCGATGAAGCAGGATAAATTTTTTCATGTGTGGCTTCAATATTTTTCTTTTTTAAATACATGTAAACTATTGTACAAATTTCATTGCAGCCTTTTTTTGCATCTCATTTACCCCACAAGTAATAATAAATATTTGCAGAACCGCTCTCATCAAATGTTTTATTATAGAATGCGTATTTTCTACAATAAAATAAATTGATACTTTCTCCACGAGGAGTATTCAGTACTTTCTCCAGGTCAAAGCTGACATACAGCACGGATCCTTCTTTTGAAAGATTTTGGTCTTTCACAAAAATTGCAAGGCATTTTTCTTTATAAAAAAAGAGGTTAGATCTTTGTAAATGGGTATATTTAAAAACTGTTAAAAGGGGTACATCAATGACACGTACGTTTTCGGAATAAAAATTCCATCATCAGGTTTAAAATTCAAATTAGCATGCCTGAGCCACCAAAATATCAGGATAAAAACCCTTTAAATTACAAGTGGTTACTAAAGATTGTACATAATGTTGTTAATCACATTTGATGTTTGATATTAAATTAAATTTGACTTCAGTCATTATGTCATGACGTCAGTAATTTAATATCAAATATCAAATGTGATGAACAACATTATGTACACTCTTTAGTAACCATTTGTAATTTAATAGTATATTACATAACGAGAGTTGTAAGAAGCTTATTACATGCGAGTAAAAAAGTTGCGCGCGAGCCGCGTAGCGGCGAGCGCAGTAATTTTACAAGCGTGTAATAAGCTTACAACTCAAGTTGTGTACTATACTTTTTCTACGATTATTTGCGTTTATAAAAATAAAAATTAAATTACCACTATATTTACACTGACAGATTAATATTTTTTAATCTGTCAAAATAACGTCTGTTAATTCGTTTCCATGGTAACTCGACCAACTGACTTACGAGGCTTATGTGATATTACACATTTTTATAAAACTGAAGCGTAATTTTTTTTATTACGTGCTAGTCATTACGTGTCAGTATCTGTTATGATGCATTTACTTAGCATCCAAATAGTAGATAATATACAATTTACTAGTAAGAGAGTAGAAAAAGGGTTTTTACCATCGAGCAAAAAGACAAAAGAGGGAATGTAAATGTAGTGGGGGCAAAAATATTGTTAGACAAGAAGTGCGATCTTTAGAGGCCACATTAAACAAGGAAAGAGAGTATCTCTCCTTGTTTGACATTAAATTTAGTTGGGTTATGTTATTGTTTGTCCCAAATGTCCATCGAGTTAGACAAATGTCACATGAAATCTTATTTATATTGAAGTTTTTTAACAATTGTGTCGCATTTTTAGACTATTACCGCTAATAATTAATTAAAACTTTCTCGTCTAGGACATATTCTGAAAAATATTATATAGCTACTGTTAATAAGTGTCGGAAAATTTAAATTTGGCGCATTCGCATTTCCGGATATGTCCGAGATCAGAGCCAATTTTTTGGTCTCCTTTTCATAAGGATTAGATTCTCTCTGTTGTCTTTTTGCTCGATGGTTTTTACCCTGATATTTTGGTGGCTCAGGCAAGTTAATTTGAATTTTAAACCTGATGATGGAATTTTTATTCCGAAAACGTTCGTGTAATTGATGTACCCCTTTTAAGGGTTTTTAAATATACCCATTTACTAAGATCTAACCTCTTTTTTCTGATATGTGGTATACAGCCAGCTGCAGGAATTATTTTCCTTGTGGATTTTTCTTTATCTTTAATGTGTTGATTGTTCGATTCTGTCTTCTTTTCTTCCTCTTGTTTAAGAATAGGTAAATACTTAATCTTCTCACAAAGATTACATTTATCTTTCTTTGGCAGATGAAAACCAATGCAAATTTGAGCGGAATATTTTCCGAAACTTACTGAGTGATACAATTTCAGTTAGTTTTTCACAGTTAACGAGATATTTTTATATTTAGATATAGATAAAATGCATTATTATTTTTAAATTCAAAACCATGTTCGTTCGACTTACGATGTTTTGGTTATCGAAAAAGCTTGTTGTTATGATCACTTTCCATAAAAATAAAAAATTCGAAAAATTGTTGGTTTATGATGTTTTTCCTGAAAGGGCTCGATGTATCGGTTCGAAGTAATAAAAATATATTCAAATAATAGTGCTTCAAGATTTCATTATAAATCTTTAAAGATATTAATGTTAAAAATTAGGAACGAATTTCATGCTTATACAACCTTCAATTTATCCAACTTCCACTACAACTAATGTGCAGCGTAGTTAACTTCAGACATTGCTTTCATTAAACTAACTATATATTCTTGGTTAGATCAAATAGTTATTAAACAATCGCTGCAAAGTAAACAAGTTACAAATCGTCGCGTCTTGCAATGAAAGTTTAGGAAAAATACTATAAGTATTTCAATCATTATAACCGAGTTATAAAAACAGCGACGATGCAGAACCCTAATTCACATGTAGATGATTTATATCTGTTGTGTCTCCATTGGGTGTTGCGTAGACTTCACAACCTAGTGTTGACTTCACTCTGGTGAATTTAAATTTTGTAAGAAAAAAGTCTGAAACTAGGCAAAATAATTTACAAAGAGCTGGGCACAGCACAGCTTGGTGGCAAACAGCTGCTAACCTATAAAATTGACCATCAAATGGATCTAAAATTGCTGGACATAACATATGATTCAGATTGACTTCCGTAGGCTAAAAATAAAAATAAATTATTTAAAAAAAAAAATATTAAAATAAAAAACATAATTAAATATTTTTAAAAATTAATTAATTCGGGATTCAACATATGTCTCGAGGTTTACCTCTCGTCAGGGAGACATATGTGAACTCGAACTGAACAGAAACGCTGTTTGGTAATTATAGTAACACAATATACTAATTTATGCTAATAGCGACATCTATTAAATGATGCTTAATTATATATTTAGGGTTAAAACATTTGAAACTTTCTAGCTTATTCTAAGCCTTTCGGTATTTACTTTACACTATGGAATTAAACAACACGAAACAACATTGGGTAAATTACCAGAAGTAATCTACCATACTGATAGTTCAAAAACATTTAATGAGAGACTAATGGCCCTAACACTAGAATAAATGGGTAACAATTTTTATCTGGAATTTCTATACATATATTTTAAACTCAAGAGTGTCTGAGAAAACATCTTAATTCCACTAAAATATTTATTGCTACTGATACTGCACTAAAGTCTAAAATTTGTAAGTAGGTATTAATTTACAGCTGGAAAACGAGCTGAATCATATAAAATGGGATATACTTGGATTGTCCGAAGTACGGCGAAAGGGCGAAGAACAAATGGTACTTCCGTCGGGAAACCTATTGCATTATCGAGGAGAGTCTTCCAATGGTGGCGTAGGATTTATGGTAAATAAAAAACACACAAAGAATATACTCACAATTAAAAGCATAAGTGATAGAGTTATATATCTTATCTACAAAGTAAAAGAAAAAATTCGGTTAAAGATCATCCAGGTATATGCACCTACTAGTACCCATACAGATGAAGAAGTAGAATGGTTCTACGATGACGTTAACACTGCCATACAAGAGACAAACACCAACTTTACTATACTGATGGGAGACCCAAACGCCAAAATAGGCCACAAGCAAGATGATTCGGAGTTTGTAATTGGACCTCACGGATATGGCGATAGAAACGAAAGGGGTCAAACTCTCATAGAATTTCTTCTGCAACACAGGCTATATGTCATGAATACGCACTTTAAAAAAAAGCGACCAAAGAAAGTGGACTCGGCAATCACCAAATGGTTTAAACAAGAACGAAATTGATTTTATATTTACTAACAAAAAAGACGCTGTTCAAGACGTAACTGTATTAAATCAATTTTCAACTGGAAGTGACCATAGAATGGTTAGGGCGAAGATAGTCTTAAACATACAGAAGGAAAGAAGACATATGGTAACAAGGACTAATAATGTTACATTCACTGCGATTACTAACACCAGGGCATACCAGGAAGAAATAGATAGTAATCTACAGAAAGACCTGCAAGATGAAACCAGTATTGAACAGCTTAACGAAAAATTGGTAGAAGCCCTGAAGAAGTCACAGAAGAAGTGCCAAGCCAAGCACTCAACAAAAAATGAAAAACTCACAGAAAACTCACTCAAAAGACACAAGAAACCTAATGCAAAAAAGAAGGGAAATGAAAGAAAAGCATACAACGAACATTGCAGAGCTAAGGAATTTAAACAAAACCATTTCAAAAGCCATTAGGAAAGACATAAGGAACTTTAACACTAAGGAAATAACTGATACCGTAGAAAAAAACAAAAGCCTAAAAGTTCTAAAACGAAAGTTGAAAATAGGAACGAGGAATATTTATAAGTTAAAAAAATAATCAAGGACATGTCATACATGAACAACAAGAGATACTAAAAATCATCGAAGAGTACTATTAGAACATTATATAGTCGAGATGACCACATTCCCGAAGTAAAAATTCCAGTAATACTAAATCAAGGGTCAGAGGAACTTCCAGATATAACCGAAGAGGAAATTAAGTCAGCATTAAAAGGTATGAAGAACAACAAAACACCTGGAGAAGATGGCATTGTAAGTGAAATGATAAAACTAGGAGGCGAATGCGTCATAAAGACTTTAAAAACCCTTTATAATGCCTGCCTCTTTGAAGGAAATACGCCAGAAAAATGGAATAATGCCATTATGATAATATTGCATAAAAAAGGAGATGTAAATTGGCAACTACAGACCTATCAACTTATTATCTCATTTATATAAACTCGTTATGAGAATAATTACTAACAGACTGGGACCTAAGCTAGATTTTCATCAACCTCTAGAGCAGGCCGGATTTAGGAGTGGCTTTGGAACAAATGACCACCTACAAGTAATAAAATCCTTGATAGAGAAAGTTATAGAATACAACAAGCCATTGATATTAATATTTGTAGACTTTGAGAAAGCATTTGACTCAGTCCAGCATAGCTCCATGTTAAGAGCTCTTACAGAGTGCAGTATTGACCTTAGGTACACAACTCTTCTTCGAAATATATATGATAGCGCAACAGCTGCTGTAAAAATGTACTATGGTGACACAGACACATTTCCCTTGGAGAAAGGTATTAGGCAAGGAGACACTATCTCTCCTAAACTATTCACCGCCCTATTACAGAGTGCTATGAGAAAAAATAATTGAAAAGAGGTTCTGAGAAAAATGAATAAAGATATAGAAATTTTAAATACAATTAAAACAAGAAAATTGGAATATATCGGACATATTACACGTGAAGAGAAATACACATTACTCCAACTGATTATGCAGGGAAAGATCCAAGGAAAGAGAACCATAGGAAGGCGTAGAATGTCATGGCTGCGCAAGCTGAGAGAGTGGTACGGATATACATCATTTGATCTTTTCAGAGCAGCCGTCTCAAACGTCCGAATAGCTATGATTGCCGTCCTCCACCGCGGTTATGGCGCTTGAAGAAGAAGAGGCAAACTGAAACAGCGCCAGGCCTATCAGGAAGCGTAAAACAATACTGTTAAGCCCATTCAGTCAAAAACTCTCTATTTTCACTATCAACTTTACACTTTTTACTATCCATATCGATAAAATATAAAAATCACAAGGATCTAAAACTATAAGTTAACCGCAAGCGAACAACACAAAAGACTAACGGCGACAGTTACAGCAATACTCACTTGCTCTATAGTCGAACAATTTTCAATTAAAGGTGACTAATCTGCAAATTGAACTAAACGGTAGCGGCAACCATGTAAAATTTCATTAGTAAATTCTTACCGGGGTCATTTTTATTGTGTATGCTTTGCCCATGTAAGTATATAAATTTGTAATGTATAAAGCGTAGTGTGTTATTGGGAATCTATTTATTAAATAGACTTTATTATTAACTTTAAAATAGTTTTAAGGTAAGTAAAGTAAATTTGAGGCCAGTTTATTCTTTATATAGTATTAAATTAACGGACGCTCAATATACAAAGAGAAATTTGACAATTAATTTATTAGATTCGATTAAAACACATAAATTAGGACTGATTCACAACCAAAAAATTTTTTTTTTCTCATTTTCAAGGAAAACAGTACAATTTTTAATAAAGGAACATATTGTATCTTAAACGTAAATTTAATTTTAAAGTGAAAATTTTCGAAACATTCGGGGTGTAGATGCATTCTAAACTTTTTACCTAAGTAAATATTATTACCTAAAATAATTTATATGAACTTCATAATACATTTTCATATTTATATAAACAAATAAACACAAGGAAACTTTCAAATTAAGTTAAAAAAAAACAAATATAACGTTTACAGCACACAGCCATTCTATAAATAGTGAATGATGTGTAATGATGTGTTATTAAAATTGCAGATTGTTTTTAGTCTAATGAAAAAAAAATAAGTATTTTCCAAAGTTTTTTTTTTTTTTTGAAGTTTTGTATTAGATACTCTCTAATAAGAATAAAATTTTACTTTACTTTGTTAGACTATACTATAAGATACCTGTTAAAAGAGACATGATAATTTAATAATTAAATCATACTTAGATTTAATTTTTACGTAATTATTTATGTGTTAAATACGTAATTATTTATGTGTTAAATAAATAATTAAATTTTTTTTTGGTACGCCTCTGTAAAATTGATAATTTCAATACGATTTCGTTCAAAAGTGTTCGTTAAGGGCTTCGTTAAGTACGATGTTGCCAAGTAATCAGCTTCAATTAAAAATTGTTTTAGTATAGGCTCTACTACGTGACGTGGCTACGACTGGCTGGCCATGTTCAAGCTAGGGTCGGCGGTATTGCCAACTCTACTGTGGCAATCAAACGTAGGAAAAGGCTTTGAAAAATTATATTTAAAATTTATGTGATTGAAATATTAAAATATTTTTGGCGGTCCAGTTTTCGACATTCCGCGGTCCGCCAGTTGGCAACCATGCCGAGTATAGATTAAAAATTTAACGTTATAATTTTACTCAAGAGTAAAAATTTAAAAAAAATGTATTGAGGAGAAGAACACTCTATGTATGAAAAGTATGAGCACCCAATCCTCAGAAGACACACAGAAGTACTAAGAAAAAAACAGAGAAGTAAAACGAAGAAGGACAAAAGAAAAGAATGAAGAATGGGAAGAAACATGTGCACAAATCGAACAATACATTGGAGGAACAAGGAATTTAGAATCCTGGAAAATACTGAAATCTTTAAGGAAAAATAACAATGAAAAGGTCCAAATACAATATATATCAAAAAAAGAATGGGAAAACTAGTATAAAGAACTACTCACAGAAAACTGCCCAGATTTCATAGAGACAGACACAGAACATGAACAATAACAAAATCAGAATGAAGAACATATTGAGATAATATTAATCGAAGTAAAGAATGCCATAAAGACTTTAAAGAACAAAAAATCTGGGGGACCAGGAGAAATTGTTAATGAACTAATTAAGTACGGAACGGGCAAACTACACAGAATTATACACGAAATGTTCAGTAACGCTATAAACCTGAACGAAATACCAGATGAATGGTAAAAAGCATATATAACCTCGATACATAAGAAGGGAGATAAGAAGAAATGCGGGAAGTATGGAGGCATCAGTGTGATAGCATGTATGGGCAGGTTATATGAAAAAATACTTAAAGAAAAACTGGAAAAATCTATCTCAAATAAAATCGGAAAAGATCAGGCGGGGTTCACGGCAGGAAGATCTTGCGTATACCACATTTATACACTCCAACAATTAATTGAAAAAAAAAATGGCAAAAAATAGACTAGTACAAATGGCATTCATAGATTTAAAAAAGGCATATGACACGGTTTCCAAAAAACAACTATGGAACACGATGAAGGAAATCGGAATAACTCACAGGTTAATAGAAGCCGTAAAAAACCTTTACAACAATAACAAGGTAAGAGTTAAAACCGGGCAATAAATACTCCAACGAATTTAAGACCACAAAAGGCTTATTGCAGGGATACTCTACATCGCCGACACTGTTTAAGATATTCCTCGAACAAATATTAAAACCATGGAAAAGGATATGTGAAGGGATGGGAATACCAATCCCGGACAACCTCTTGTACACATTAAGCTTTGCAGATGACCAAGTGGTAACGGTTCAAGATGAAAAAGATCTGTGCTATATGCTCTGAAAATTAGAAAAGGAATACACAAAAAATGGACTGGAAATAAACCTAGAAAAGACTGAATATTTAACAACAAAGCAAGAACCTTGGAGAGAAACTTGAAAATGGACGATGATAGGGAAATTAACGGCACTGAAAAATTCAAATATTTAGGATTCATAATCTCAAAAATGGAACCACGGAGCAAAAGATAACCAGCAGATTAGCATAGACAAGAACATGTATTAAACAAATGAACGGGGTACTGTGGGATAGACAGATTACCAGAAATACAAAGAAGAGAATTTATAATACCTTGGTACGCAGTATAATGACCTATGGAGCAGAGAATTGGGTAATACATAAACGAAACAGGTCCAAAATCACAGCAACTGAAATGGAGTTCATGAGAAGAAGCTGCAGAGCTCACTCTTAAAACAGAAAAACCAAAAAAAACTGACTTTACCTCTACCAGTATTTACCATTTTAGTTTCTTTAGACGCCCTGGTACGCTTTGTTTTGCCAGTGATTTTCTCTCTTATAGAAATATACAGAAAATATGGTGAATTTACTCAGGAATAAATATATTTTATGTACGGTAAAGATTTTAACTTAAATTAACTAGAGTAACAATAATAGCTGATTTATTTTTTTCCTCCTGCTTTTAAGAGCGTCACTAGCAAGTGAAAAATAGTTATAGCATAGAACAATCTAGTGAGATTTTTACTAATTTTTTTGAGTTTAAATCAAGCTTTAAAAAAATCTCTTTTTGATTTTTAAAATAGATCACTTATCTTTTGCGTTTTATCGATATTATTTAGTTATCTAGTACAAATTAAATTAAATTGTATAGTCGAATACTTACAATGGCCACAACTTGCAGAATTATAAAATGATATAACAAGTTGATTCCATAACTCATAGCATTCCACGATATATCACTATATTTTTCAACATTATATACACCTGAAAAAAAAAAATGTTTATAAGTCCTTCAAAGAGATATATTTGATTAAAATTATTCAAGATATTTTTCTAGACGAAAACAATTCACCAGGAACTAGGATCGTCCAAGATGGCCGAATACGTAGCCAAATCGATTATATTCTGATAGAGAGCAAACTAACAAAACGAGTTATCGAGGAGCAAATGCTAACATAGTAATTTTAAAACTATAAACAATGTGCGCAAAGATTCGAGCACATAGAATATCGTACAATAAATATAACGTCATGAGAATTAATGACAATTGTATTCCTGAAAAACTCCAAGTAGACGGGGCAACAAAATTACTTCAAGTAGAAAATCAAGATGATGCAGAGAGGGAATCAAGAGTAATTGATTGAAACGGGGGAATTCATTGTCAACTGTAATTTAAGAGCCAAAAACAAAGTATATGGAAACATGAAAATGGGACAGGACGCAAACGGAGACAAATATGAATTAAGACATTTATTGAAACCAAAAAACATCTTCAGGGCGATAAAGCTGGGATTACACTGAACGGCAATTCAACTCACAATTTGAAGACGTCTCGCTTATTGTATTTACAAGCTTCATCAGTTCAATCTAAAAGAATATAATGATGGTAGGTAAGAATATAAAACATGGAAAAATAACTTACGAATGGTGAGTGAAGAAAGATGGTGTAAGGTAAGGTGTAAAATAAACACACCATTCTCTTTTTAACCTTGTTTATAAAATAATTTTTTTTTCTAGTATATTTCACGAATTTGCGACTGTTTTGGATTCCTACTAGACATTCGACAACCAATGGTCTTCTTTACTGCACAGCAAAGAATTACCAAAGTAAATTTCTCTAGTAATGAAAATATGAAGTAAGTTGATTTAGAAACACTTTTTGAAACATATTTTCATGTTTAATTTACCTGCAAAATATTTTTACAACCAGATTAGTTATTAATCAGAATTTAATATGGTTCTAATCAATGAGCTCTGAGAGATTACAATAATCTTAGATATTTATTGAATCCCTCATAGCATGTACTTGGTTGTTTTAGAAAAGTCTTTGGAGAAACTGTTGACTTACTTTAGCGATCGTTCAAAACCCGTTGCAAATTAATGGTAACCTTACAAATTTTTCATAATAAAACTTGTGATCGGATTGGAGAACAATGCCTGTTGAGGGGTCGAGTTGGTTCTGGCTCTGCTTTCTCTTCAGGGTCACTGTTTTTTCTTTTTCTACACAAGTTGCTTGTAGGATGTTATTGTCAGAAATTCTAGATGTTGTAGATACATTTTCATTAACTTCTTCACAATCTGTTCGATCCTCCGATCCGTAACTGATAGGAAGTTCAAATTGCCTGACCCAAATAGCTAACGGCCGGTCATCATTCATCCAGTCGTCGACCATTCTACAATTTGTAATAATTGCTAGTCTCCCAGACTTTTATTTATTTCGAACAAATGATAATTGGTCGGCGAAGTGTTCACTTTGAGCTGTTTATTATTTGCGAAATATTTTCAAGTCCGTTTCAGACTTTTCTTCTCTTCTTCTTTTTCACGTGCCATCTCCTCTAGGAAGGTTGGCAACCATCATGCCAATTCGCACTTTGGACGCCGCTGCTCTAAAGAGGTTAGCAAAAGTGCAGTTAAACCAAGCAAGACTTTTCTTAATTTTTAGCAAATAATATCTTAAAAGAAAAGTGCCGATTTCCTTCACTTGTTATTTGCGAAATAATTTCAAAGTCGTGAGTTTATATTTATCTCCCGAAAATTTCTAAGTATCGAGAATTTCTTCCTTGATGAAGTCTTGAAGTTCGATGATTGGAATAGGTGAGAAAATACAACCCAGAGTTTAGTTGTGTTTAATTGTTAGCCTGTCCTCCGGCCGAAGGATACACTACTTTGGTTTATTTTATTTGATTTATATTTGGGTATACTGGTCCTCCGGTCGAAGGATCGAAGGATTGTAACGCTACGGAGTAAGTAAGTATATTGATTTTATAAAATAAAAACAAAAATAATCAAAAGACACTCTTTTTGCACCTTAAAGTGCCGTAAAAAATTATAAACAACAACTTGGAGTTGCACGGACTTGGGAGTTACTCTACCCTTCATAACGCTGTGCTGGCTTTAAAAATTCATTAATTAATACACGATTTTTTCTCTACAGCCCTTACCATTGAGAATTCAATCATATTGAATATATCTGGGAAATGTGCTAAACTTACTAGGATCAATATATTGGACGAAATCATTACAGTGACACAGTAGTTTTGGAAATGCACCAAGAAGCGTTGAAAACTGCTACTCTTGCCATTTGGTAAAAAGTGTGCGGAAATGTGAAAATTTAATAGAAGAACGTTGGATGCGTGAAAATCGCATTAAAGCAATTAATCCAGCCATCATTTCCAATTTTTATTGTTTTATTAGTAAATACTTACTATTGCCATTTAGAAACAATACAATTTGTAATTGTCGTCTATTTTTGCACTAATAATTGAAAATATCTTCAACTGATCAGTAAAAACCGTATTTTTTCCTTGTCTTCTACACTGCTTCAAATATTAAGACAATTAGCTATGAAATTTTCTCAACACAGCGGAGCATTTAAGTTAAAGCTTTCATTTCTAATCCAAAATAGTAGCAAATTCGTGAAATGTACTATTGTATATTTCTTTACATGTCTACTATAGGTCAGTAAAATAATACAATAACATTAAATTAAAAATTCATACCTCCTACTCGTAAAAGATAATAAGGCACAACAACCATCATCCCATGTTGTATCCAATAAATAGCGGTTTCTAGAGGCAACTAAAAATAATAAATTAATAGGTTATTGTATTATAATTGTAATTTAAATACACATGCGAGCAAAAAATCGCCTCAAAACGAAATAAGTTTTGACTACGCTATTTGGCAAGTGTCATATATACATATATGTCAAATTAGAAGTAAAATATCGTGAACAAAATAATTTTTATTACAATGACATCAATATTTACAAAATTAATAACTGAAAAATATAAAAAAGATAACTGACAAATTTTACGTTGAATATTTGATGGTCCTCTTCGGAGTATAAAAAGGACGGTCGACTTTTATCCCGCACGGATGCACACCTGTGTCCCTTTACAAAAGGAGTTGTACATACACCTATAAGTTGATCGTAATCGATATCTGCAAAGTATGTTGTCGACTTGGCTTAGTATATACAGTGCATTCCGTATGTTTTGTAAACATGATCAGGAGAAATTGTTGCCTGATAGCTATCGAAGAACCGACTATGACCAACATGTATTCTTGGTGAATACTGGAATACAATAGCAGCTTTAAAAAATACTTGTTTGCCATTGATAAAATATAGTATACAACTCGTTACGGTTAACTTTCACCATTGAAACGTTAGAGGTTTAATGTATGTTGAAAAAAAATATGTCCATAAAAAATTGTTGCCTGATAGCTATCAAAGAACAGTTTATGACCAACATATATTCTTACTGGAGACCTATGTACAATGTCCGTTTTTTAAGTCGTGTAGATAAAATGCAGTATGCAGTTCGTTACGGTTTCCAAACGTAAGACAGTATCAAATCGTTAAATAGCAAAATATGAATGCCATGCTTGTGTCATTTTCCCCGCGTCGGTGAACGGGACTTTGTTGTGGACAGGACTTTGTTGCCCATTAGTCGGTTCTTCGTTCTGAGATTAGCGGAATACGAAATAATGGAAAAGAAGAAGAATTGACAGTCAAGATACGAAGAAAAATTGACTGTTGACATTAAATAAGGAAGAGAAAAAGAACTAACAGTTGGCAAATGGTCCCGGTTTTGGCTAAGGTTTATGCTCGGCCGGTAATGCAGATTCAATGCAGAATGGACTTTGACCGTCTGTCTTAACTGCCCCATCCTCTGTTTATAACATAATAAAGATAACTTAATATTGTATGTGGGAAAACTTGTTATGAATGAAAGTCATTATGTGATGAATATCAAATTAAAATAACATAAAAAATCAAAATTAGTACTGAGTATTTCCTCTCTACATTGTATTACACTTTAGATGCCATCTCTTAAGGACCTTACTGAATTTCTGACTGATTCCTGAGGAATCGCTGCCCACTCGTCATCTAATTTAGTTTTTAGCTCCGCCACTATCGCTGATGATGGATTATGAACCCGAAACCTGCCTTTGAGGTCATCCCTTAGGCTCTCGATGGGATTGATATTCGGACCCAATAGAGATCTGTCCATTGTGTTTATATTGGTGTTTACCAGGTAATCTTTCGTAACCCGCGCTGTATGACATCGAGTGTTATCGTGCATTAGCACAAAGCCGTCGCCTATGTAGCTACAAATACCATCGGGCACAAAAACAAGCTCTGATTTTCCTTTTAAAGATATACCACTCCAAAACATACACGAACCACCTCTATAGCTTACTGTTGCACTGCAGCACTGGGCAAATCATTCTACGGGCGTCCGATAGACGCGTCGTCTTCTCACATTACTATGCAAGCAGATTGGATTATCATTTGGAAGTGAAAGTGGCAGCTTTAAGTCTTCTTCTAACAGTCCAGTGAGTAACGATGACAACTCGTACATTCCTCAAGGATTGTTGAAGTTCAACTCCTGTCGTGTGCCGATTCCGCAAGACACTCTGGACAATGAATCGAACGTTCCTATACTCCATTCGCTTATCTCGGGCATATTTTGACAGATTCAGTGTCGGAAACCTACAACACAACAATTCCTACTTCTCAGTATTAATAGCTCAAGTATACTACTATTGCAGAGTTTTTCCTTTGAAAAAAGAAGAATTATTCTAAATAGTGGAAGTGTATACTAAACTCATCAAATTTTGGGTAGTATTATATTTAAAAAATATATTTTAGTTGTTATAATTTAACATAACTATTTATTATATGGTGCAGATAAATAAATATTCATCATCATCATCAACTAGCCTCTAACGTCCACTGCTGAACATAGGCCTCTCGCATGCTTTTCCCCTTAGTCCGATTTTGCGCCATCTGAATCCAATTTGTTGTCACTCTTTTTATGTCATCTGTCCATCTCGTTGGGGGTCGATCTCTATTTCTGTAAGCTTGTATTCGGGGTCTTCATTCCAAAATTCTTTTTGTCCACGGTCATCAACTGATCTTGCTACATGACCTGCCCAGTTCCACTTTAGTGTTGTTATCCTTTCAATAACGTCTGCTACTCCTGATCTTTTGCGTATAGTAGCATTGGGTATTCTATCACGTAGAGAAATCCCTAACATAATTCTCTCCATTGCTCTTTCCGCAACTTGTAGTTTACTCACTGTTGTTCTTGTGAGCGTTAGGGTTTCTGCGCCGTAGGTCATCACTGGCAAAATACACTTATTAAATACTTTTCTTTTCAGACACATTGGAATCTTAGACCTAAAAATATCCTTCATCCTTCCAAATGCAGCCCAAGCGAGGTTTATTCTTCTTTTCAGCTCGATTGTTTGGTTGTCTCGACTTATTCTGATCTCATGGCCTAAGTATTTATAGGAGTCAACTGGCTCAATATCTTTGTCTTCTACTGAGATGTTTTTGTTGTGGACTAAATTTGTCATAAATTGTGTTTTTGAAAAATTTATTTTAAGACCAACTCTTTTTGTGGCAGTATGGAGTTCTTGGAGCATTATCTGTGCCTGATCAAAGATGTCTGCAATAAGAACGATATCATCTGCAAATTTAAGGTTATTTAAAAATTTTCCATCTACATTGATGCCCTTTTCGTTCCAATCTATTGTTTTACAAGCGTATTCTAGCAAAGTTGTAAATAATTTAGGAGACATGTTGTCTCCTTGCCGAATGCCTATTTCAATACGAAAAGTCCCAGTATCTTCATTAAGTCTTACACAGGCTGTAGCATGTTGATAGATGTATCTGATGAGAGATATGTATCGGTGATCTATTCTACATTGCCTTAGAGCTTGGAGCATTTCACTTTGATTGACCGTATCAAATGCTTTTTCAAAGTCGACAAAGACAAGTATCAGGGGTCTATTATATTCAATGGTTTTTTCAATCAACGACTTAATGGTTTACAAATGATCATTTGTTCCGTATCCAGCTCTAAATCCTGCTTGCTCGCAAGGTTGATAGAAGTCTAGTTTTGATGTCAACCTATTAGTTATTATCTTCATAAACAACTTATAAACGTGAGATAACAAGCTAATAGGTCTATAGTTCTTTAGCTCTGTTATATTTCCCTTTTTGTGCATGACTACTATAACAGCTTTATTCCACTGAGATGGTGTAACCTCGTTTGAAAGGCATAAGTTATTTAATTGCGTAAATAAATATTGATTGTCGGTAATTCGCAAAGTTCTATTTTATATACGATTTAGTTTGTTTACTAATAATATTGGCTAGGAGCACGTGTGCTTGGTTGTATAGTAATTTCCAGCCACTTTTACTCTGTCAAAAAGTAACTAACTTCGTAAAAAAATAATTACTAAATTCACTAGACAGTTCGGTTAGGTTAGGTTAGGTTAGGTTACTGGAAATAGCGAACCGAGTATTACGTCTCCGACCCGAACCTATTCGTCGATTGTAGCTACCGGTCTCATGGTATCAATGTGTGTATCAACATAAGTAGGCGACGGGCAACAGTCCTCTGACTATAGCCCTCTTGTAATATTGCCATTACCTGGGCCGTCGTCGCTGGTGAAATGTCCATTTGTAAAATATTCACTTACTGCACTCCGAAGTGTACACACACGTCAACGTTTGAACAACACTGGAACGAGCACCGGAAAATTCGTAGAGGTCTACATTACGCAGAACATTCACATTACAATGTTTGCTGCATTCCCTATGCCGTACAGAAGTAGGCAAATTTTTCTTACTGAGAAATAATGCCTTTCCGCTAGCTAACTCAGGATATTTTTTTAAAAGTTTGATAAATATAAGTTTGCTAGACTTTTTCTGCATTTTATTAGAACCTTAATCCTGAAAATAATTTTAAAATTTTATTATTCTTGAACTGGTTATATTTTCGATTATTTCGATGAGTGGAAAAGACTGTACAGCCTTGATAGAATATTTATCCAACTCAATAGAATTATTTCCAACTTGTAATAAAACATCAGGTATTTACAGTCCTATAACCTATTTAGTTATTACTTTTTAAGATACTTACTAGCCTGGTGTCTGTCTCTGGGAAGACAAACGCCAATAATGGTCCATTTAATAAATTTAAATGAAATCTGAATACTGCAGTAACTGCTCTACTAGGTGCTGCTGCTAACAGGTATATCTACAAATAATAGTATACTAATTAACTCGCGCTACAAAATTTTAAAAGATAGTACAACAAAAAACTGTGTTTATTTCAACAGTATTACAATTTATTTTTTTAAGCTTTGTTTTTACATTCTCATAGGGTGCTATCATCCAGATCTGATGAACCAGAGTTTATCTAGCTCAGATGAAAGCACAATTTTTGAGGGCCCCTTAACCTGAGGTAAAGACAAAGAAGCTGACAGCTAAAGTCAAAAAAACCTCGGAACTTAAAAAAAATTCAAGAAAACTATGTAGGTAGAGCAAATGGTTAATGGTTAATGGATATTGGTACTTGAAAACGTACAGAGAATAAATCAGAAGATCTTGATTTCTCCCTGAAACGGACAGAGAATAAATCAAAAGGTTGAAAAAGAGATTATGAACAGCGAAATGCTTTGTACAGCAAATAATCAAAGACTCTTTGGAAACACTAACGGCAGGTGCAAAAAAATACATCAACAATATAAATTTTTCAGATGGTACTGCCTTAGTAGCTAAAGCCTTGAAAGATCTACAAAAAATAGTTGGGAAAAAATTAGATATCAGTGTGAAAAATAATTTATTTCTTAACATAAAAAAATACAATGTATAGTAATCACATAAACTCAGCAACATCAAAAAACCTTTATAATATATAGAGAATAAATCAGTTACTTGGCTCTTATCCCTATACAAGGACGGGTTTCCTAATTATGTCTTCCTTTAAGATTCTATCTTAGGTCATACCAATATTAATCCCCTTTACCGACATGCCTTGCCTAAGTGTCTCCCTCAGGTCTTCTTTGGTTTACCAAAACGGAGATAATAATACCCCTATGTAGGCTAAGTACTGAAAAGCTCATTTATTAATATTACATTTACGACAGCAATACAAAGATCCTGCAACGAGCTTCGATCAAAGATAAAAATTAAAAATTGGTTTTCCGAGAATTTTAGGGTAAATAAGGAAGTAATGGAGATTGCTCCTTCTAAATCAAGCGTAGACTAGCAATAACCGGACCGCAACAGCTAAATTAATTAAAATATGGAAAGACCGAATAATATTAAGGCATACTAAGCTTAGGTTGGTCAACGCCCTCCGTCCAACACGGTGGGCAAACTAAATGTAGACTGGTGGGAAAATATCTACATGAGGCCTACATATGGCACAGGATTGCAACCAAATGGGGACAGCAAGCTAATTATATTTCTAGTATCACCACGCCCTGCCAAGGGCCCAAGGAATGAGTAGAACGAAGGAATTAAGACAAGGCTACAGTCTACCTCCAACACTCTTCAAAATCTACCTGAGTGAGGCACTGAAAAGATGGAGGAGAATTCCTATTCTGGAATAGACATACCGTTAAATAACGAAACAACCATATATACTCTTCGTTTCGTTGGTAAGCTCGCTCTCCTGACTTGGCTTTAATAACAAACTAGTAAAAGAAAACTGTTAGAACAATATATATATATATATATATATATATATATATATATATATATATATATATATATATATATATATATATATGTCTTTCAGTTTATCATATAAGTCTTTCACAAACACGTGCCCCCAAAGACCTATATAACAACCCTGACATTGTCATGCTTCCGGCCGACAAAGGTAATGCCACCGTCTTTCTCAACTCTTCTAATTATTTCGACAAAATGTTCGAACTTCTTACTTCCACAAAATACAAACGCGTCCCAAATGATCCCACTACATATCTAGAAAAAACGACTATACTATACCTCCAGACATTAAAAAATCTTTTATACCAAGAGAAAAATCATCCCGCATTCCAAAGATATACGGCCTTCCAAAAATCCATAAGATCAATGTTCCCCTAAGACTAATCGCCAGTGCTTACAACTGCCCCAATCAGAAATTGGCAAAACATCTCACTTTAACCTTCCAACCATTAGGCGTTAACGTCTCGTCCTTTGTTAAAAATTCTTTTTATTTTATTGATCTTCTGAAAAACATTTCGATTTCACCTTCAGATATACTAATTAGTTTTGACATTGTTTTTTTATTTACCAACATTTCTATCGACGAAACCATTTCCATCTTGGACTGATCTAAACATCATATCCCCCTAAGGCACAAAGGTGCCCCAATGGAATCCCTTCTCTCTCCCGTAATAGGTGATATCTACATGGAACATTTCGACACAGCAGCCCTCTCCTCATCAAATTTCAAACCCATCTGCTGGTTACGGTACGTTAATAACACCTTTGTCATTTGGCCCCATGGTAAAGAAAAATTAGATCTCTTCCTCTCCCACCTGAATGAAAAACATCCCAGCATTCAACTCACGACGGAAATTGAGTCTGAAGCATCTTTGCCATTCCTTAATGATCTTATTCAGAAACACCCACCTCACAGTTTTTCCTATTCCGTGTACCAGAAATCCACTCATACAAACCGTTACCTAAATGTCCAGTCACATCATTATCTCGTCCAACTTAAATCAGTTATCAACATTCTTATTTCCCGTTCCATAAGACTTAGCGACAATAATCACAGATCATCCGAAATCAATTCAATAAGGCAAACACTCTTACAAAACGGCTACCACAAAACCCAAATCGATAGAAGCATTCAAAAACATCTAAACCCCATTTCATCCAAAACAGAGACCTTAGCGCCGGATCAACCCAAAATCTTTCTACCTTTTATTAAAGGTGTCACTGACAAGATCAGTAGAACTCTCATGCCTCTAAACATCAAAACCATCTTTACTACTCATTCCAAGTTGTCCAATCTCATCAGATCCGTAAAAGACCAAATCCCCAATGAAGACCATGGTGTCTACGAGAAACCTTGTTCCAGTTGCCCACGTACATACATAGGACAGACAAACCGACGAATCCATAACCGTATTTAGGAACATTCCGCTTCGAAAATCGCTTTCCATTATATATATTAAATAATATAAAATGTCACAAGAAAGTAGCTTCAGAACAATATCTAGAATATTGTATTTTGACTATTGACTGGTAATGTAAAAACACCAATACAGACAGTCGATTATGGCTATTACTTAATAAATAAAAGCGAACAATTGTAGTAACTTAAAAATAGAAAAAAAGTTTTTTTTTTTAAATAAAATTACAAACCTGTATTGCTGTAGTTACATGACAAGGATTCAATACATATATCACAGTTCTTGATGAAAATTTATACCCGATTTCCATCCCCCATATTATGCACATTAAAACCAACAATATTCTTTTGCCAAATCGATCTCTTCTAACAAATGTTGTAGGGGGTAGTGATAATTTCGGGTAGCTCCATTTGATTATCCAATATACGATCACTAGGACTAGACTGGTATCCACGTAGCGCCAATAAGGATTGAGAAATCCTGCACATTCCTGACCTGCGTTACGTGGTACTGTCTTGTTTACACCACTCAGAATCCACTCCCAGTCCATCTTGTTTTCTAAAAGATTGTAAGACTAAGATAAAAAATTGAAAATATAACGATACCGATCGGTATAGATAGAAAAATCATAAAAATAATCTCAAAATAGTCTAGTCATTCGAGATTTGACTCCTAAAAATCATACGAACAAGCTGAATTTTGCAAAAAATAGTAATTTTGGGACCTCAAAACAGATGCAAAAAGTTGATTACTTTTACTCCTGGGCTTCCCCCACAAATTCCTCCCGCAAGGGGGTAAAAACGCGAAAAAATCAATTTATTAGGAATCTGTACAACGTAAAAAAAGGTTTAAAAAAAAATGTAGCTAAAATAATTTTAAACAAAAATGTTTATAAGCATTTTTTATGTAGAATAAACCGTTCTCTTAGAAACAACGCTTAAAGCAACCGTCGATTTTGCATGGCAGTTACGCACGGGACATTAATGTTCAATAAAATTTGTATCAACTAGACGGTAAAAATTCGATATCTTTTGATTTAAATGTCCTACCGACAAAAATCAAAAAGCCTTTTAAAAACAAAGGGTGCAGCTTTTGTATACAGTTTTTGTATTTTGCCGAGAATAAACTCAGTTTTTATAAAGGTGTTAAATAAATTAACGTGGCGCTATTTTTGCCATTTTTTACGATTCTCGTGAAATTAATAAAATTGTTTACTTTCATTGACCAGTTGTAGTATTCTTTTTATTTTTAGAGATCAATATTTAAAACCTATGAGATGAAATTTGAATTTTAAGTTGTGGTAACAAATATGAAGGATTTGAAATATTAATACAACCGCAGAATTTAATGTTTTACATTACAAACAATCACAGGTCACGGAAAATGCATTTAAAAATACTGCTTTGGGTAAAAATTATTGCAGTAGTTTTGTTCTTTTGAAAAACGTACTAAAGTAACTGAAAAAATTTTTTTAAATGTTTTAGATCTTCTGTTGTGTGAAAGTTTAAAACCAACGTTTTTTAAACACATTTCAAATGCCTCACATTTGTTGTTAAAACGCAAAACTAAAATTTCATGCTATAGTTTTTAAATGTTAGACTCTTGTAATCAAAACTTCATAGTGGATAATCAACGAAGTCAAATTTAAGCGTCTTCTCATTCTCTTTTTGTGTGAGAACAGTGATGTTGTTCTTAGATAGAAATAAAACAATACTAATGCAATCAATGACAAAAAATATACTCTTCTTCTTCTTCTTCTTCTTCTTCTTCTTCTTCTTCTTCTTCTTCTTCTTCTTCTTCTTCTTCTTCTTCTTCTTCTTCTTCTTCTTCTTCTTCTTCTTCTTCTTCTTCTTCTTCTTTTTCTTCTTCTTCTTCTTCTAATGACGCTACAACCCTTTGTGAGTCTTGGCCTGCTTAACAATGTTCTTCCATTCCGCCCTGTCGGACACTTTTCTTCGAAACTGCCTGATGTTCATAGTTTTAAGATCCCTCTCTACGTCGTCTATCTATCTTTGACGGGGCCTTCCTCTTGTTCTGTTTCTTTGGGGCTTCCATCTCTGGACTACTCTTACAGCTCAATTATCTAGCATTCTTTCTAGGTGATCAATCCAGTTTAGTCTTTGTGACTTTACAAATCTAACAGTATCTGCGCTCTGCATTAGTTCATACAACTCGTGGTTCATTTTATTTCTCCACGAACCATCGCTGCATTGGGTTGGTTCAAATAACTTTCTTAGTATTTTGCGCTCAAATATTCTCAGTTGATTTTCATCAGTGGTTGAGAGGTTTCACGTTTCACATCCATATGCGACCACTGGTCTAATTACTGTTTTGTAAATTCTAAGCTTAGACTCACGATTCAGTAACTTACTTTTCATTAAGTCTTTGTATGCATAAAACCACTTATTACCGCTAACAATCCGCGTTTGTATTTCTTGACTGATGTTGTTGTTGTCATTTATTATTGAACCTTATATTAATCCTATTAATCCATTTGTTGACAAAAAATATACACAGAACCTAAATAAAATATATTTTAATTTGATATAAATATTAATAAATATAACACCATAAAAAACTCTTAAGTTATACCAAATCTCCACTTTACCTTTTACAAAAACACTGATGACACTCCCATATAAAAATAATTATATATTAATGCAAAGTACAACTAGCAAGGCGAGATAGGAGGTACCTAAAAGAAAACAACATTCTGGCTGCACATAATTTGAGAATAGTATATAATTTACAAATCAGCCGCCATATTTAAAGAGGGAGAAACTAATACGTTCTTATTGTTAATTCAACCACGAAGAAGATAAATGGTTGATTCCATAATACTATCAGTTTTGCCAAAACTCTCAGGCATTTGTTGCTACTAGACTGTCGATATACCAATCAGAATAATGCATTATAAATAGATACTTGTTTATTTGATAGACAGATATAGGTATGTAATTATTATAGGTCTGATTGGAAAAATAGTTAAATTTTACTACTGTTTAACATTAGATGTTTATTAATGCTTTAGATAAGATTTAACTAAAAGATATAGAGGCAAAGCAACTTTATTTCATTTACATGTAAATAATAACAACAATTACGTACATAAAAGGTTTTCCTTGCATATAACATGCATTCCCCTTAATAAAGATGTTATGTTATTTAACATTTTTCGCACTACTACCAAATTTTCAGTTCTGACCAGACTATCACTTACACATTTTTCAGATTTGGCACTTTGTGTCCACCGATTTTCACACCATCACATAATTTACTCACTGTATATTAACATTACCCGATAGAGCTCAGAACATAATAAGAAATCAGATAGACTTCATTCTTATCAACGGTAAATTCAGCACAACTGTCAAAAGAGCTTGCACATACCCTGGAGCAGATGTCCGTTCTGACCACGTACTATTAGTAGCCGTCATAAAGATCGCTCTTTTATGCAAAAACAAGCCTCAAACTTAACAACAGATAGCACAGATATATATGAAAACATTAACAGGCAAATAAAAGCAAAAATAAGAATAGCAAAAAATAAATAGCTTAGGCAACAATGTATCTATCTAGAACATTTACAACGACAGCACGACGACCGTAATTTACATAAAAAGCTTAAGGAGACTGCTGGAATATACAGAAAACGAAGACCAACTACCATAATTAATCAGGATAACCAGATAGTGCTGGGTGAAAAGGAGAAAATTGATATATGGGAAAATTATATCCAGGAGATCTTCCATGACGAAAGACCCATGAGTGAAGTTTATACAGACGACCAGCTGACTGGCCCTTCAATCACCAAAGAGGAGATAGAAAAGGCAATATTAAATTCAAAAAACAATAAGGCACCTGGACCAGATGAAATCCCGTCAGAAATACTCAACTTACTAGATGAAAGGGGAATTTCAGCACTACACAAAATATTTAATTTAATTGATGAAACTGGCTGCTATTCTCAACAGTGGTTACGCTTTAATTTTATTCCCCTGCCCAAGACAGTCAATGCAAAAAGATGTGGGGATCACAGACTCATTAGCCTGATGAGTCACATTTTAAAGATATTCTTAAAAATACTACATCAAAGATTATACAAAAAATGTGAATATGACATCAGTGATTCCCAGTTCGGGTTTAGGCAAGGTTTAGGAACACGAGAAGCAATAGTAGCAACACATGTGCTGGTCCAAAATTGTTACGATCAGAGGAAGGATGTGTTCCTGTGCTTTTTAGATTACCAAAAAGCGTTTGATCGTGTCCAACACCACAAGTTAATGCAGATTCTCAAGAAAGTTTATATAGACCAAAAAGACATAAGATGCATTGAAAACTTGTACTGGCATCAAACGGCACAGTTAAAAATAGACAATTTTATATCCAAACCTATTCATATAAGAAGAGGCGTTCGACAGGGATGTGTCAACAGTCACATATATTACCAAAGGAACAATATCATTTCTCAATCCTTCAATTACCCAAAATATTTGCTCTTATTTAATAGCAAGCTTAGTTTTTCCAATTGTCCAGTGTTACTAGACCAAATGCATTTCTTATTAATTGTTGCATTGCAGCGGTCTTAAACTCTATGTTGTGTGACGCAATATATCTTTTGACTTGACTGCATACCTTTTCAACTGAATTCAACTCACATTGGTATCAAGGTAATCTCAGAATGGCAACATTTTTCTCTTGGCACATCTTGTCGATGTTATTCTTTTTCTTCCTATGCCGTCCCCATTCACAGAGGTTGGCGACCACATTTCTAAAAGTTTCTTTGTCTTTTGCAACATGGAATAATTTGTCTACAGTCATGTTTGTCCAGTCTCGAATGTTTTGCAGCCATGACTTCCTCTTTCTACCTATTCCCTTTTTGCCATCGACTCTACCATGCATGATGACCTGCAGAAGACTATTTTTATTATTCCTCAGTATGTGTCCAAGGTATGCAGTCTTGCGTACTTTTATTGTCCTCAACAATTTTTTGTCTCGACTCATCCTTTTCAGCACTTCCTCATTCGTGACCCTGGCAGTCCATGGAATTCTCAAAATTCTACGGTATATCCAAAGTTCAAAGGCTTCAAGCTTCTTAACTATTTGCGCTTTTAACGTCCATGTTTCTACCCCGTACAATAGTTACCAGGGTTATAGGGACCAGACGTAACACTCAACAAACCTCAGTCTTAGCGCAGTATTCAGATTTTTGTCACAGAACAATTGCTTGAATTTTAAGAACGCTGCCTTGCCATTTCTATTTGTACTCTGATCTCTTGGTCTGGATCTAATTCTGTGTTGATGTAAGCT